TTGATTACTCCCCATCATCTAGATAATATTGATTTTATATAGTTCAGTATAAATATATTTGTTATATGTGATACGGTACCAACCAATCATTTCCAGACTGATATGTAAACGATCATATACTTAGTTATGATTTTGTTTAAATTTTATTATTCTTACCGTGTGGTACTTGGAAAACTTTCTGCAATATTCCTTTCAAGCATCATTGCCTTTTTTAATGCATATATTTTGTTCTTATTTGAATGTGCATCTTTCAGCCAGCCTGTTTGATTAATAGTAATTTAATGTTTATACTGTTCTTTTGGTAAATTTTTCATGTTCTCAGTTTTATGTGTTTGTGTGTGTGAAACATCAATACACATGTACAACAAATGCCAGAAACAACTCTGTCGTACTTTCTTAAGCTAAATCAGAGCAGTGCTGCCACCATTTTATAGCTGTTCTTTGTAGGAATATTTTAACATGCTTTTAGCGAGCTCATACATTTTATCTCTTAGAATATGTCGAGGGATTTTATATGAAACTGATGCCAAATAAAAATTGATTTTTACTAGTTATTGAAGTATTAATTACCACATTAGAATGTTTTTTTTTCATAATTTTTAATTTAAATTTATGCAGACAGAGAAATTGGAGTTTATTGAAAATAAATGAGCAATATCACTTCTTTTTACAAAAATATTTCATTGTAATATTTTTATATATAATAGGAGAAAAGAGTACAATTTTTAATTGAAATACAGCATTGCTGCATTGTGAATTTGAATGAATTCATCTTCGCAATGCAGAGGTTTTAAACAGTGCTGAGTTTGTGCAATTCTTCTTCTTTCAATGTTTAAGTGAAAGCAGATTGATGTGAACCCGGGGAGAACAACAGTTGAAAAAAATTATGGAACGATTTTGAGAATTTTTTTTTTTTTTTCAGTGTGTTTCCTTTTGATATATTGGTAATATTTGCCTACGCATGGCAAATTACCTTTTCATCTGTAAAAAAGTTGCCATTTTGCAAGAAGATGGTTATGCTAATGCATAAATACTGCCTCTTTCTCTTAGAAAGTTATCCATCCTGTTATGTAAATAGCCCTCATATGCTTTGTCTTATTCACATAATCTAACCTAATCTTACTTTTTACTATTTAATAAATGATACTTCTAGTAATTTATAAATCAGGTGAGTTTTTTTTTTTTGGCCTGATTTAGCTGTATATTTCTCATCAACTTTTTATTTCTTACAGAGCCCTTATCAAAATTTGAATTTTCTTATAATTTCAGTAAAATATATCACATAGCCCAAATTATCGGAATCTGAAAGCTTACTTTGATTTTTTAGATTATTTAGTAGTAGTTCTATTAGTCTCATCACGTCTGCAAAGTTACAGCGACTATGTCATGTCCAGTTTTTTTTTTTTTTTTGAAATACCCAGTATATCTATATTGGGCATTTAAAAAAGATGACAAAACATTAATGTCAATTACTATTAGGATTTATTGTTATTTAATTTGGCATGATGTCATAAAAATCTTTGGCAATATCACTGCAACGCATTTCTATTTTAATAATTATGAATATAATCAGTTCATGTAAAATTTCTCCTAAGAAAAGGGTATCATTCATTCTGGCTGTATAATTTTTTTATTTATATCAACTCTTTTTTTTAGTTATATCTGCCAAGAATCATGTGCCTCTCCTCAAAAATTGTATTTAATTCTGTCTTTTTTTTCTTGTCTGTGTAATTAATAAGTATATTTTATTTTCAGTATTTGGATTGTTTATGGGCTCAGATCAATAAACTTCGTTCAGATAAATGGGTGGAACATCATATTTTGCGCCCTTACTTAGCATTTGACGGAGTTTTGTGTGAAGCCCTTCAACACAGCATCCCGTCTATGCTGCCACCACCTCACCAAGATGGTTGTTCATATCCCTTTCCATCAGTTGTGTTTCGGTTGTTTGACTATACTGATTGTCCTGAGGTAAAATTACTTAAGAATCTATGTATATATTTCAAATTTTTCATTGTTCTTGTGCAAGTGATTTTTTAATTTTTATATTTAGTAATTAAATGTTGTTATTTATCACTGTAATTCATGCCATTAGTCATTAAATAGATTCCTCTGCCTGATACATGATGAAAAGTATCTAATGAAGGAATTTTTTTTTTCGCTCTTTAAAATGATGTAGTGCAAATTATGTATCAAAAAGCTAGAAGAAAGTCATGCATTGATTTCTTAAGTAATATTTCATAGATTCTAGTTAGCTATTTTGCAGTATGTAGTTCTTTGAAATTCATTTTAAAGTGAGTTAAAAAAGGAATTTAGGTTTTTTTTTTGTCATAATCATGTTTAAAAAGTATGCAAAGTAAAAAAAGGGGTGGGGTGAGGAGATGTTTATTGTACACTTATGTGAGAAAAACTCACATAAGTATAATTAAGATCTTCTGTTTATCATTAATACCATGCAGAGTATTACTTTGTAAATAAGTAGGACCTCCTCTGAAACCATATGCCATCTGAACGTTAATCAAGTGATTGCAAATTTCCTTTAAAGAAATATATGTTGTGCAGTATAATCAAAAGGAAAAAAGTTTCTTCAAAAGTAGTACATGCTGTGTTTTGGGTGTAATATTTTAAAAAGAATAAAGAAATTATACCAAATTTCCACTTCCATTTGATATTTAAGTGCAATTCAGTCATAAGCATATGGCAGCAATTGATGTTCAGTGCATTATAGTATCTAGCACTTCTATTTCAAAAGTTTAGTTTTGAAAGCCTTGCCCTCTTCATTATTATTATTTTTTAAGTACAAAACTTTATTTTGTTCACTACCTCTGCTTGCTCTATTTATTTATCAGCTATCACAAGGAAAACACATATGTAAACTCTTTACTTTCAATTAATAGTCCTTTCAGTTCAACAATTTCTGTGCTAATTAATAATGAAACATCTAAATAATTGTTGGGAAAGTTTTACTATCATAGTTTCTATGAAGAATGGCTATTATGATGTAAGAAATTTAAAGAAGGCATAGGAAACAGTAATAAATAATTGTAAAATTTACAAATGTCTTTTTCTTCCTTTACTCTCTTTTTGTTTGAACAGTTTACAATCTTCACTGAAAAGGAATAATATAAATTTTCCAGCAATTCAAGTATGTTACCAGTTTTTAAAGAATTTTAACATCAATAATATCTTTAATTTGAACATCAATAATATCTTTCATCTCCTAGAAGTGTTACGACAGTTTTTAAAGAATTGTCGTAACACTTCTAGGAGATGAAAGATATTATTATAGAGATAAACTTGTAGTATTAATCTTATAGATTAAAAGTTGATCTTAGCACAAGTTTCTAACCTTTTTCATGTCTTGCACCCCTCAAAATTTTTAATATATTTTTACAGCTCTTAAACCAGTTTCTTAATAAAAGCATATAATCAAATTTTAATAATAACCAAAAATTAAACAATAAATGAAATGAAAAAATATTACAAAAATTAACATTCGCACAAATCTTTTGAAAAATTAATGACTTTCCCTCCTGTTTAGTAGATAAGCATTTTTCAAATTATGGCACTTTGCCACTAATAACAATTCATATATCTGCTTGTGCATGCAAGTGATTTCTGAATTTTGTTTTGATTAACAGAAGGGCATTAAATCCAGACTGAAAGTTTGTTGTTGCAAATGAAATGAACACAATTAGTGCTTTTTTATTAAGTTTTGGGAACATATTCATTGCTGAACATCAATATTGTTTAAAAATATTGCTTTCAAAGTGCATTTCAAGAACACAATTCATGTGCAGTTCTGAAAAATTGTGCATCAGTTCATCGTCTGGCATGTTATCTGGATTAAAAGAGTATGGGTTTATAATCCATGTTTCTGATGTTTACAGTTCTCATCCTTTAAAATAATCATCAAATGACTTTGGTATTTCCAAATGATCCACAATTTCTTGACATACATTTAAAATTAGAAACTCATTATTGTCAACCATTTCTGAGGAGAAGTTAGAAGAATAATCCTTTTCACTTACCAACATCAAAGTTGTAACTTTTATATGAAACTATATATCTTTTTGCAGCATGTCAATATGTTTACATTTTACCCTTGGACAGATAGATACATTCTGACCATTCGTATGAGTGAAAAAGTCACTCCAATAAGCCAATATTTGGTTAAATTCTTGTGATTCCTTTTCTCCAACGAAATTGTAATCTTGTTTTAGAAAAGGTTTGACATTACAGTTAAACAAAGCATGTTAAAAGCATTACCACGGGAAAACCACTGAACTTTCATGTGGGAAATGGAAACCGAATCCATTACCAAATTCTTCGCAAAATAGCTGAAAGAGACAATGGCTCAGAACGTGGCACCTAATCCAGTTTATGCCCTTCACTGATGTGTAAAGGATATTTTTCATCTTTGGAGGTAATATCTTTTATGACTGAACATGTAGATGAAGAAAACAGTAGGTACCTTGTAAGAAAAAAAATCTCTTAATGTTCTTCAAGGGACATGTAGAAATCTTGTTTGTATTTTTACATGGGCCTTGGGGAAAGTTAAGAGATTTTGTAGTAGTATGTAGTATAAAGGAAGTAGCAGTAAGTATATGAGTAGAAAGGAAGTATTGTAATCAAAAAAAGTTTCAGGCATCCTATTTCAACGCAAATATCTCTTTTCACCGCTATTGAATGCAATTTAATGATGTTTTTTCGTGACATCTGCACGTAAGGACAGAATAAAGAACTCTTTTTCCCTGAAAAAAATTTTAAAACTAATTTAAAATGAATTCTAAAGAGAATTTTTCATGGTGTCTGTGCATACGTACGCATGTATGTATCTAGCATAACTCAAAACCGAGTAGCCTCAGAACATTGAAATTTTGTATATAGGACTGCTATAACATGCAAATGTGCACCTCATATTTTGGTTGCAATTGGCCGAACCAAAAGTATATAAATATATGTATATATATATATATATCCACTCTGTTACTCGGCTCAGTGATCTCAGTTTCATTATTCTTATATGTTTGTTAATTATGTATTTTTTTTTGCTTTAAAAAGGATTGAATTATGTTGTTCTTATTTTACGGTTAAGGTTTTTATGATTTAAATAAATCTGTATGCAATAATTTTAGAATTATCAACAATTTTAAAGTTTTTAAGTGCCGCTAAGCCTAATAATTTCTGCCATGGTGCCATTGTTTTACATTGAAACAGAGAATAGTAGATTTTTGCAATCTAGAGAAATCAGCTCGCACTAACAAGAAATGCCTTTTTTTATTATTGTGAATTAATATCTTAATCCATTCTCGAATATTCGAGGAATAAGTTTTAAGATTTAGTTCAAATTTTTAATATAGTATTTTGAGTTTTATGCATTTTCCTTGTGCAAGTGAGAACTGATTAATGGTGAGAAAATATGAATCGTCTGTGAAAATGTTTCTCTTCTTTTTGAAATTCATTATAATCATTTAGATTATTTAGTTAGAATGAATATGTGATTACGATTAGATAATTCTTCAAATGATATAAATTTTGTGCATTCTGAGTTATAGTATGAACCTGTCTGCATGCTTCAATTTAATGCCATTGTTTATCACTGCACAATTTTTATGATGAACGCCTATTTTCATAAGTATTAAGATATGCCTGCTCACGCAGGTGAATTTTTTTCGCCCACGGGTGTTGGTACTTTTCTAGTACCATTTATTTGGAAATATCTTTGCCTAATGCGCTTTAATGTGATCTACTGGTGAAAACTCTTTAGTAGTTAGTGACCAGAAAAAAGTAAGTCATTAGTTATAATTTGAACGAAATATAATGCTGGTAAGTGAACCTAGCGCCAGAGTGTCGCTATGGTAAACAAATAAAATGATTTTAAAGAGTGCATTTATTCTATTGTGGTTTATGCTCTATCAACGAAGTAGATTTAATTCAATCCAATACGTTTAAATGAAATGCAACAAAAAATGGGTATAATTTATAAACAAGGAAGTCATGTAGTGTACAAATCAGATTTTTTTAAAAAGTGGTCTAAGAAAAGTTACTATGGGTGCCGTTTAAACATCAGTTTCTATATTCTATGACTACAGAAGAGAAATATATAGAAACTGGATTTTTGTAGTGCATACAGTTTCGTACTTTGAGAATGGATTACTGAAAGACGAAATGTACGTAAAATATATCTTTTTTTATGGGGAAAGGGGGTAGAAAGTCGCACATTTTTTGCATCAAGGAATTAGCAGAGTGCATTTTTATATTTTGAACATTATACAAAAAATAATTGAATGCGGAATACTCTTTATTAAAATGGATTTCATCTTTTTCAGGTTTTAAGGACAATTTTAAAAATTGCAAAACTACGTTGCGGGCCATACTGTCTGTTAATTGTGTAGTACCATATAAAAGGAAGTACTGTACATAATACCTTACAAGGAAGTCATGTGGTGCAAACATCAGATTTTTTCATATTTATATCTAAATTTATTTTCATTCACTTTGCTGTAGCCTTTTCAATATTTTCCAAATATTTCTTAAAATCTAATTCATCAAGGGAAGAGGATGATAAAAACTCGGTTGCAGTGTGTGCAGTCTAAATATCTTGATTTGAATATTCCAGTTGTTTTGACAATAATTTTATTCTTAGTAAAAGTTCATAGATGGCTTTCTTTGCCTTTTTAATTTGTTCATCATCCAACAAAATTCGGTGTTATATATTGAACCCAGTAAGATCTCATTGTCTAGCAAACTAATTTCTCTTTTCTTCATTGAGAAAATGATTCCTTCTGCAATAAGCCATCCCATTTTAGAAAGAACAAACATCACATTTTTCCATTCTCGCAAAAACAATCCTTCTGTTATTCTTCAGAGTGTAGCTTTTATGCACCTATATACGGTGTCGAAAGAAAAATCTCCAATTCTGCAAGATCATTACATTGTCTTTCTGTTAGTGAAACGTTAGGGTTTTCTGCATCTTCTAAAAAAAGTTCTTAATTCTAACAACCTCTTTATCATCAAATATGTATTTCCCCATCACGTTGCTTGATTAATAATTGCTTTTTTTCCTGTTTGCCTCCTAAGAATGGCATCAGTTTTGGAAGTCCTTGCTGCATGGCTAAACTTAACACTGAGATTTGTAGCATGGGTACCAGTGAGATTTGCAGCATATGTAGCATGCATTTTGGAGCCATGGGCTCCTTTTTATGGTTGTGAATTATGCTACAGTAATGCCATCTATGAGCTGAAGAAGTAACTAAATGGATCAGTTTAATGAATAATGGCGAATATCACATCCATCCTTCTCCCTTATATTTATGTATTAATATGTCAAGAAAATGGAAAATAGCTAAATATTATTAATATTTCCATAATTATTAGTTATAGCAAATAACTAAATATTACTAATTGAATCCATAAATAAAAATAATAACTAAGTTTATCGTTATTTATTTTTTTTTTTTTTCAATTCACCTTAATTTCATTTCAAATTGAAACTGTCCAACAAAAACTTGAGTCGGAGTTGACATGTTTTTACCCAAAAATCTGCCTAACTCCGATTCCGACTCTACAGCTGTGGATGGGAGATTTAAATAGCTACAACTGACTGAAAACTAAACTGAGTTTATGACTAGTACAATACTTTCTGCTTTATTAATAAAAATTATAATAATCTAATAATATTAGTTAATTGTGTGAAAGTTGATAGGCTGATATGTTCATTAGAGCTTAATTTTGTACATGTTCTAAGGCAACATCATCAAGTCTTTAATATATACTAGCATTTTAAAGTTCAAATATAAAAAAATTAATATTTAAAGCCATTTCTGACAATTAAACTTCAAGTTATTGATATTTTATGAATTTGTCTATTATTTGAGCACAATAAAACTTGTTAGACTATGTACTGTAATAGGAGTTTTGCTATTAGGGCTAATTATAGTTCAGTCTGTTTTCATAGCATACTTTAATTTATATCTAAATATTTTCATATGTTTATTGCATTTTTATTAAGACTTAAATATATAGTTCTGAGGAAAATTTATTTTTAGGGACCAGTATTGCCTGGTGCTCATTCTATTGAACGGTTTTTGATTGAAGAACAAATTAGGCGCATAGTGGAGCAGCAGTACTTGTGTCGTAAAGAATGGTAATACATTATGCTTTTATTAAAACGTACTTCTAAATTAATTTTTGGCTGAACAAGTATTTTAGTCTAAAAGCAAGATGTTAAGTATTGTATTTTTTTTTTTTTTTTCAGTTTGCAGATCCATTGATAAGTGCATTATGAATTTTAAATGCAGTCGTTTAAGTGCTGTACAAATTTAATTAAATTAAAAAGAAACAGCTTATATTTCATTAAGAACTTGTGATGTTCATCATTAAAAAAGTATGCTATCATTGAAAAAAAAAGCATAAGAAATTCGGTACTGACAATGCAGGGTTCTTACGATCATTAAAAGTACGTAAAAGGCCTTCAGTTTTTTTTAAATGATTTTTGCTCTTTGAAAGTCCTTTACTTCAGCCAAAATTGCCAGAAGGTCCTTAATTTTACTTATCTGAGATTTCTGTTGTTTTTTTTACGACTGCCATTTGAGTGGCAATTAACATTTCGGAGGAATATTTTTTGACATTGCATTGACAAATATGTATTTGATGAGTTCACGTTTGAAGTCCTACTTTTTAATATAAATGGTGGATACTCGAGTTTTAGATATGAGTCCATGTTTTGATTGAAGCATAAACATTTCGAAGTAATTCTCTTTTTGTGAATGAAGAGTTCATAAAATATTGCATCAAAATCAACTTTTCTGTTTTTGAAATATGTGTTCTTTTATTATGTTGCACTAAATTTGGTGACTTGTCAAATTTTGGCAATTTCAAAATCAGTTTATATACAAAATTTTTATTCAGAGATTTAAAAAAAATTTAAAGATTTTTTTTTGCAAACATTGTAACACTGATAAATATCATGAGAATAATGATAATAACTGAAAATTGTGTTTAAGATGTAACATTAAAGCAACAGGTTTTGTACAGTCCTTAATTTCTGCCAAAATCCTCAAAAGGTTCTTAATTTTACTTATGTGTCATTTCCATCCATTTCTTTTTTTTACGACAACCATTTTGAGTGGGAATTAAAATTTTGGACGAATATTTTTTGCAATGCATTGACAAATAAGTATTTGGGTTAACATTTGAATTCTTTAGTAAATATACTGGATATTTGAATTTTAGGCTCTGCCTTGATTGAAACATAAACATTTAAAAAATATTATTATTATTATTATTATTATTTATTTTTTTTTGGAAATGAAGAGTTTATAAAATATTACATCAAAAATACTTTTCCCTTTTTTGAAATATTTGTTCTTCTATTATGCAGTGCTAAATTTGGCAACGTATCAATATTTTGGCGATTTCAAGATCATAGTGTACACATTTTTTTTATTTGGATATTTGCAAATTTTTTAATAATTTTTTTACAAACATTGTGACACTGATAAATATCATAATGATAACATAGTAAAACCATATTTAAGAAATAATATTAAGATAAATTATTTTTATTTTCCGTCTTATTTTAAAATGAGATTGGTTTTAATTTTTGTGACTTAGGAATATTTTGATTTTGAAAAATAAAGTAATAAATGCTACAATTAAGCACAATTTCTGAAACAGTTTTGAGAATAAAACAAAATAGCTACTCTAATTATTTTAAACTTCATTTGTCTTCTTTATATTTTTCCATAGTAAGCATCTTTTCCCAGGTAATTGTCTCAAAATATTGAAATAAATATCAGTTTTCTGAGTATTCCTTTTGCAGTTTTCTTTTTCTTTTCTGAACTTTCTCCCCCTTCCAAAAATCATCTAGCGTTTTGCTTTTTCAGAGTTGGTATAGATTTTACTTAGACTTAGCATCTCAGAAGGTTTAGAAGGATTTAAAGGCAAGATTTATAGACCTACAATTCCAGAAAAAATTGGGGAAATTAAAGATGTCTTCATGGTATTAACACATAATGGATATATTTGATTAGAAATTTGTGATGAATTTCTTAGCTTCTGAAGAATTTGTGGAAGAACAGCAAAAACAAAATTATTTGAATCTTCTCCTTTCCATCCCAGAAGTCTTTCCGTTAACATGTTTATCTTCTCTTTATTTTCTTATCTTTCCACTAGACAAGCATTGAAGCAACCAAAGAAACTGAAAACCGACAATTTATTAAAATATTCCTCTTCTGTGTCTCAGTGCACCATAATATCTTAGTGCCTGTCCAAAATTCTAAACTTTTTACTATCCATAGATTTTGTTGCTCGGTGCTTCATTAAATTCTCAAAAACTGCCACATTGGCTCTGCCGCCTGCCCTGACCTTATATTTATTCTCAATACGCACAAAGAAATAAAATTATAAGTTTCTTGTATACATGCTCTCTAAGTACAAGCAGTTCTTTAGAATAAGAGAAGTCTTTAATTAAATCAGAAAATTCTAAAATGAAGAGGAAACTCATTGAAGAAGAAATTGATTTTATAAAAGAGAGAAAATTATTCTTCAAAGGCTTCAGAAAATTAGCAAATTAGGAGATGAAGCAGAGACTAGTGGGAACATTGACTTATTTATTGAAGCAAATAAATATATAAAAGATGTTAAAGAAAAAGAAATTGATGTAAATTAGCTAAAATATATGAAACATTTTCAAATTAAAAAGATCCATAAATATTTTGTTGTTTGTTTTTGCTACAAACATGTTTCGTGGCTTTTAATATGTAAATATATGAATATCATTTTAGAATCAATGTCATAAATTATAACTGCTGTAAAATGCTGTTAGTGCTTTTTGAATGGATTATTTTTTAAATGAGAAAAATTATAATTGTAACCATGTAAATCTTTTGTAGCTAAAGGTATCTAGCTACATAATTTAATTATTTGTAACTAACTGCTTACCCTTAAAAGTTCTTTCCACATGTTATGGTGATTTATTGCCTTTCCTTGATCCATATTGCATACGTAAGATACAATGCAAAAATTAACAAAAAACTTTATTCCTTACATGGAATGAGACTTAAAATAATACAAAATGACCTATCACCGCTGATGCTTTCAATGGCTTATTAAAACTTCATATTAAAAACTATATTTTAACTGAGTTGTAATTTCAAGAAATCTACATAAAGGAATGACACAAACTGGGTCAGACAAAGTGCAGCTAACTTTCAATACAAACCAACTGTATCAATGCCAGTTGTTCATGTCTATTCTGATCAGCAGTTCTCTGTCTATAAGCAAGCAGCTGGAGGCAACAACCAAGCTTATGTTATGAGTCATACTAATTATTATTCTACTTATCAATTTAACTTATGCTAGACAAATCTGCATAAACCTTTGAACTGAGCGAGTACATGAAAAAATGAGGCATAAAAGAATGAATCAATTTAAGTAAAAAGTGCAATTTAAGTAAAAAGCCAATAATCTTGTTTAATAATACGTGTGACTATTATAAACGTAAAATATACGGGGTACGTCGCGGGCGCGCAATGAACTGGAAGTTGATCTGTCAGCACTATCGTTATCTTCAGGGCAGATGTTTTTATTTTATTCGGCTTATAATTCCTTACTAAATGTAGGATTCATCTCGATGTACTCCGTCTTTGATATGATTTAAATCAATTCCCTCGTCATTATAAAATCACGAATACACATCAAAATTTTTCTGGTTGCAATTTTCTAATTTCGATTTTGCGCAATGTATGCTTTACGCATGGCGCGTTGAAAGAAATGTTTAATAAATAAAACAAATAAATATTAAGCTTTTTTTGGTAAGTTTTGATATTCTTTAGATCAATTGCTCATTATTTTATAAATTACGGTTTCATATTTTAATTTTTAATTTCTGCATGCCATCTTACCAGATTTAAACTGATGATCTATAATCCGGAAAAATCGATAATCCGGAATCGCCGAAGTCCCGACGAGTCCGGATTAAAGACTTTTGACTGTACTTGGTAAAATTCGGGTCTTATTGCTGATAAGTTGGATCTAACAATACTTTTAAACATATACAACAAAATGATGTATTTCCCTTTAAGTGATGCTGCTCCATATCTGGTTAAAGCAGGAAAATCAATAAAGGGATTTTATCCCAAGTTAGTGCATGTGACTTGTTTTGCTCATGCATTGGTTTTTCTTGCTGAAGAAATTACCCCGAGATACACAAGCTTGTATTTTATGTAAAGAAAATGTTCTTAAAAGCACATATCATATACAGTGTACGAAATCCTAAGTTCCTAATTTAGCTTTTCTACCAAAACCTGTTATAACAAGTTGAGGAACACTGCTCAGTGTTTGCATGTATTGTAGTGAAAATTTTCAAATTGTGAAGTCAGTTGTGAATAGCATTGATTTGGATGCTGCTGCTTCAATTCAAATTGCTGAAAATATTTTCTCCACATATAAATGTGAAAGAAATCTTACATACATCAGATCTAATTTCAGGATTCTAATTTCAACTATTAAATATTTTCAAGAGCAAATTATGGAGCTTATCAATGCAATAAGCTATATGATAAATTAGGCAATGTTTTAGAAAAGGATTAAGTTTCAAATACAGCACATTTTCTAAATTCAGCACTGTTTTGACTAAAAACTGTAGTTTTCAAACTATGTAGAAAATATCCCTCATCAGGAGAAGGCGACTGTTTTGAAAATGAAGAAGATAATGATAAGTGATGTAATTATTTTCAAGAATGTTCCATTAGCTGCAGTAGATGTGCTGAGAGAAACTTCTTAAGGTATAAAATCTTACATATTGACAACAGGAGATCTTTCACTTTTGAAAGCTTCAACAATTGTAAAACATCTGGGTAAAGCTCAAAATTCAGAAGAAAAATATAATATTGAAGTGACAGGTATGCATAATTATATTTCGGCTTTAATCTAATCGTGAATTGTCCCTCCCTTTTTTTTGATGGTAGACCCTTTTTTTTTTATTTTTTAAGGGCATTTTTTGCATTTCAAGTTTATTGTTTGGTCATTTTTTAAGAGCATTTTCAGTGAATTTTTATGTTATCTTCATTTGGGCCGTGGTCATCACAATTATTAATGGACTTCCACCAGGTGGCAGTGAGATAAGGAGGAAGCAGTGATTTAACTAATAAGTTATAGATCAAGTACTTCACCATTACTGGCTCTCTAATCAATATGGAAATATAAATGCTGAATACTATTTATTATAGAATAATAAGTGGGTTCAGGAATATAGATATAAGAATAGTAAGAATTCGGAAAGAATTCTGATGAAAATAAGCAAGATGAGAATTTAAGTTAACCTATTAATATACTCTATTAAAATTATTAGTGAAATAATGAATTATTTAATGAAAACGTTGTCTGAAAATACAGAGTATCCTATATAAAAGTATACCTAGATAGAATTTCAGTACAAGACTGTTTTTATAAGTGCATGTAACATGGCCATACTGAATGAAAATTATCCTAGAAACCCATCATAAGGATTAGCCATTAATAAATGTGTGTAATTTTTTTCAACCTCTCCTTGTGTCAGACTATAAGATTATTTTTCTGATACACAAAACTGTTTAATTTTCTTCAACCTCCTTTTTTTGGTCAGGTTTTTAAGATTGTTACTTTTATTTATCTTAGTAATCTTAATAAATATAAAGTTTAAAGTTTTATTTGATTTTTTGGTTTGTAATTGTGTGATGATGCTTTGCAAATCAAACATTTAGTTGATTTACAAGTGACATTATATATTTATTGCATGATATTTTTTTTGTTTTTTATATAAAATATAATTCTTAAAAATTGAAAAATTTGTATTTTTCTTTTATTGGGACCAATTTGAGAAAGGTATGTATGTATGTGTGCATATATGTATATACAAGCACACAGCCATACATAGCTGTCTGAATCTGGTTGCAACAACAGAATAGTACAAAAAAATTCGGGAATATTTACTTAACTAAAAATAAAATAAAATAAACTAGTTGTAACTACAAATCTATTGAATGTTGAGTTTGTTTTTATGCTTTCAACATTAATCACTGCATTATCTTCATTCGCGCAACAGAAAAACATGTAAATTTTCATTTGGAACTGAATGTGAATTACATGTTAGTACTACATCTGATTTTACCAACTTTTATCATAAATATTTGTTCAGAGTTATTATAGTAAGTATTATTAAAAGGTTTGTTATTAATTACAAAAAATTGTTTCTAATTATTTTTTTCACATCTGTACAAATTTCTAAAAATGCTTATCTAACCTCTATGTAACATACCAGTATTCTGTTTAGGAAGAATGAAGAATCTATTAAAAATAACTCTGTCTTTTTTTTTTTTTTTAAACACTAACATAAAATGGATATTTTCACTTTGATGAATTTTCTTTAAAAAATTGTGCTATACATAGACCTTCTGCTTGATTCCAAATTAATTAATTCTTTCATACATCAATTTTTATTATTTAATGGGAGGGGGAACTTTCCGTGGGATGAAATTTTATTAATGGTCATATAGCAAATCAATATTTCTTGTGATAAATGCTGTGAAGACTGTGTTTATTGAAATAACATTTCTGTATCTTGCAGTGCTGCTATTCTTCTCAGCTACCCTGGAAAACACAAAATACCACTGGAATATGTGATTGTTGAGGTATCTGTTGCAAATTTTAATATTTGTGCCAGTCAAATGAAATCTTAAAATTGCATGTAGTTTTAATTAATGCATTTAGATTACTATATTTTATTAGACATGTTTGTATATTTAGTGGCATTTAAAACTAGTAATAATAATCAAACTGTAGCAGATTACTGCGAATTTCTGTATAAAACTTACCAGGGAAAGTTAAACATAAATAATGTGTGGATTACTATTTCTTAGCTTACACATATAGGATGGTAAATTTAAATAAATGAAATATTTTTTCTTGTGTTGAATATTGCTAGTATAGCATAAATGAATGTGATAAAACCCTTTAGTATACAAATACATTAATCAAACTATCCAAATAAGACAGCCTTTGCTGTGGTTGTATCAGCATTAGCCGTAAAGTGAATCATGTTGACTAATGCTGCCCATCTAGGAATATATTTTTCACCTATTATGCGTAGAGTCTATGAGCACCTTTAAAGTGACTCGAGATTCCACCTATTGCAGTCATTGCCTAAAAGGTGTGCGCATCAAGGGATTTAAAAATGGCCTATGGTAGTTAGTTTTAGTGTGAATTGTGCTTTGTTATGGCTTTGTTATGTGTAATTGTTATAAATTTTTCTTCTTGTTTTTAAGTAATAGTGTATTAAAGATTTTATATCTATCTATATATATGTAATGATATTTTTAAATCAATTGATTACATTAAATTCTAATCATATTGATTTAAAAATATCATTACACATATATAGATAGATATAAAGTCTTTAATACATATAATGTAATTTAATATATGTAAGATATAACGGCTGTTAAAAAAGTAATAATTGGTGACCTCAAAATTAATAATTCTAGATTTCATGTCCTCCCAACCTTTCTTTTGAAGGGGAGAAATATGTAAGATGTAACAGCTGTAGTTGGCGACCTCAATATTAACAATTCTAGATTTTATGCTGTTTTTCTAAATTCATCTGTTTTCCCATGTTCATATGTTACGTAACGTTTCAATGTATATACCTCTTGCCCAATCAAATTAATTGTAAACCAAAACTTTTTCTAGCTCGAACTGAAACTATTGACTCCCTTTCTTCTTCCTCTGAGTTGCAGCGTTTTCTTTTGCTTCTTTGTTGGCAAGACACTGTTGTTCCACGCTGCTGCTTATTTTTCTAAGATGATATCATACTTCAAAATGGAACTTATTCATCTATGATTAAGAATTATTCATCTATGATTAAGAAATATCCTATCTACAAAAGGATGATTTGATATGTGTAAAAAATAAAGATTGTGATTTTTCAAGCTCAGTTGTGCTAAATGCGCCATCATGCTTTTCCATTCAGCCCTACCTTCAGCCACTATGGTCTTCTCAGCCATGATGCAACATTGAAAACTGTTAGAAGTTCCAGTGCCTTCATCTACACATTTTTAAAACATTACATATATATGTAAAAAAATAAAGAATATATAAAAGATTAAATTAGTAGTGTAAATTAGTAGGTTACTCTTACATAATTCTGATGATGTAAATGGAACTAAAACAGCGAATAGTAATTTTATAGCAACTTTAACCGGTCAAACAAAATGCATTGACAACCAAAACAAACTCAGTCTGAAATTAAGATTTCACGACGAACATAACATACTTGCTTTCTACGCTTTGGGCTAGCTGCACTGCAGTCTGTTTGCTCCTTCTTTCTTACTGCAAATTTATCTAAAATATATTTTTTTTGGAATAGGCACAATTAATGTGCCAACTTGATTGTTGCGGCAACATGTTTACTGAAATAAAAGTTGAATTAAATGTACCTTGACTGCCAAATTTCTTATTCATTGTGGATTGGCGGTTCAGCATTCTACAACATCAAAATTCTGACTGTTCATTATAGATTCAATTGCCTGCATTTTACTACAGAATCTATTACACACACACACACACACACACACACATATATATATATATTTATATATCATATGTTATGGGCGATAGACACTTGCCCACAAGTCAAAAAATAAATTGTTTGTTGGTTTCAAAATATATTGGTTTACAGAGACTGTTTTTATATAGTTAGTACAGTTTTAAAGGGGGAGGGGAATCTGGAATGTTCCAGAAGAAGTGTTTTGAAATAACTTATTATTTTAATTCTTAACTTTTGTCTGATATAAGTAAGTATAATCTGATTAAAAATGCTGCTTGTAAACATGTTTTCTTAAAATGTTGATTGTTTATTCTTCCTAAAGTGAAATGTTCTCATTTTGTATTTAAAATAATATTAAAAAAACATGAAATTAATAGTTTTAAAAACAAAACAATGTTATTTCTAGTAAAGATAAAATGCAGTAAGTATTAATGCTTTTGCATGGAAGGGGGAGTAAAAGATTATCTGGAGAAAGTTCCAGATAATCTTTTACTTACCCTTCTATGCAAAGACTTCTAGAGCTAGTCTTCCATAGACTTCTAGAACCTTTTTACTTGCTGTAATTTTTAAGTAGCATGCTTTACAGAAGTAAAGTATATACAGTAAGATCTCTTCCCCCCCCCTATTTTATCCTTTTTTTTTTTTTTTTTTTTTTAATAGCAAACAGGTGTAGTGAGGGCATCATTGCATTGTCTCTAAAAGATGTAAACAAATGTATTGTACGCAGCCATGATTCATCAAACTTGAGCCATATTTCGAACAAATATGATATACCAAACAAAACTTTTTGCTTTGAATGTATTTCAAAATAAAATTCATACATGTATATACCTCTTGCCCAATCAAATTAATTGTAAACCAAAACTTTTTCTAGCTCGAACTGAAACTATTGACTCCCTTTCTTCTTCCTCTGAGTTGCAGCGTTTTCTTTTGCTTCTTTGTTGGCAAGACACTGCTGTTTCATGCTGCTGCTTATTTGTCTAAGATGACATCATACTTCAAAATGGAACTTATTCATCTATGATTAAGAATTATTCATCTATGATTAAGAAATATCCTATCTACAAAAAGGATGATTTGATATGTGTAAAAAATAAAGATTGTGATTTTTCAAGCTCAGTTGTGCTAAATGCGCCATCATGCTTTTCCATTCAGCCCTACCTTCAGCCACTACGGTCTTCTCAGCCATGATGCAACATTGAAAACTGTTAGAAGTTCCAGTGCCTTCATCTACACATTTTTAAAACATTACATATATATGTAAAAAAAATAAAGAATATACAAAAGATTAAATTAGTAGTGTAAATTAGTAGGTTACTCTTACATAATTCTGATGATGTAAATGGAACTAAAACAAGCAAAATATGCAAATGTATACAAATAAGCAAATGTATACCGAAGTACCACTGTACTAGTTTGAGAGTCGAGGGAAAATGCTATTAGATGGAACACTTAAGAAATGGATAATTTTTATTTAAAATAAATATAAAATGAATTTGTTCGATAAATGTAATAACATCCTCTGTGCGTCGTGCTTTCATCCTTATGCTTTTGATTATGATAGTCATGGGAAGACAATGCGTGATTTTAGTCTTCATAGAATTAATTCTCTGCAGTAACATATTTTCAATATTTGTAAACATATTACTGTTTCATCAAAATGAGGAGAGGAATCTAGGTATCTTATCAGGGTAAGAATTGAGACTTTTGTATATGTGTCATTATGTTGGTTATCAAGAATATTTTGAATACACAAGTAACTTCTTCAGATGGGCTTTATTAACAGAGCTAAGACCCATTAAAACGTTCATTGATTGATTGTGCAGTGAATTTCAAATTGGTTTCATGTTGACAAGATCTCTTGTGTTATGTTCATATATACTGTAGGCAAACTGTAAGTGTTCAAATCTCTTTATTGTGCTTTTCTTCAAGTTATCATGATGCTGCTAGACAGTCTCCAAAGAAAGTAAACCCCAGTCATTCAGAGAATTTTGAAGTGACCTAAAGACATGAAAATCCAAGGAGACAAAGGTCTAGTGACTATGAGGAGTGACACGAAACATCCCAGTCATACTAAGTTAGTCTTTGTGTGACATTCATCGAAATGTGGAGCAGGATTTTCAGGATAGAAAACAATGCTTCAACAATTGGTCAATTGAGGGTGCTTTGCTTTAGTTTTTGCTTTCAAAACTGAAACTTTGGAACAGTATCTTTTTCTAATTAATTTCCTGATTTGGGGGCAATAGGTCATAGTATACTTCCACCATACAAAGCATTACTTTTTTGGGATGCAGTCCTCTTCCTGTTCAACCAAAGGAGTTTTTTTTTTTTTTTTTTTTTTTTTGTGGGAGTTTTAACTCATGATCTTTTCTTGTAACCTTACTGTATAATATCTACTTCTCAGCTCTACTCATCAGCCATTTCAGAAAAGGAGCTTCTTTATTTCTTGTTATCAAGGAAGACTTGAGCAAGCATATTCTGCTATGCTAAGGTATGGAGTATCCATACGTTACAGCAACTTGTATATCCGATCTTCTTCAAATGATGTAATTTTCAAATGTATTGCAATTTTTTTGGAATATTTACTCAGCCTGATTGGTTCTGAACCATATAATTTATATTTTCAGTGATAGCTTCTTTGAACAAGAACTTGTTTACTGAGGATGTTCGTCCAGACCAGGCATTATTTTTTAAGCTGAAATTTCTGTTCTTAAACTCCTCAAACCATGTTCACATTGTGTCGTATGAAATAGCAGTTCCTCCACATATAGCACAAATTTTATGAGCAATGGGACTGCTATTTTTTTCTTAGAATAAAAGAGCATAACATGACGAAAACAAGCTTTTAAGTTCACCATTCTTAGTACTGCACTGAAATATAAGTTAGGCCACAACACATGCTAGAATTGCACAACATGAGCATTAAAGACTGTATGGAATATATTTATCCCAATGAAAAACTAATTTTTTAAGCCATACTCAAAGAACTTTTTTAGCATCTTCTCAATCCTCAAATCAAACACTCCATAAAGTTTTTTTTTTTTTTTTTTTCAAATATGGGAGCAGAATAGTCCTCACTCTCATTGAACAATTTCTGTAATTTTCATCCCCTCTTTTCACAAAAAGAAAATGATTGCTCTTCGCATCTTCTATGGTTGCTAAAACAGTGCTACAAAAATGCTCGTGTATGAATTAAACAACTGAATTGGACTAAACAATACTGCACAGTATAGCTGCATAACCATGTCAAGACTGCTCTCTGACCAATATTTCCTCACCTGCACGTTCTAGAAATTCAACTAGAGGCCAATACATAGAGCTTTCGAAACACTTTGTGTATTTCCTGAACAATAGTAATAGTGTTAGATTAATAAATTTGTAAGCCTGTATTTGTAAGCCATGCTTGTGAGTAAAAAGGTTAGAATCTGTTTTAAAAGTTATGTTATATTATTTCAAAATACAGTGCGTATTACAGTGTAGCAATATACCTTTGTACAGAGAACCAGCTCGCTCAAAAATAACAAACTTTACTTCTTAGTCTGTTGCCAGAGCTGAATCCTATTTATTACTATTTCATTGATCTTTTAAATTTGAACTTTGAATGTTAGATTAACCCTCTCGCTGTGTAATTTTTTTTTTATCAAAATAGGTTCGAAAATTGCATAATTTTTTAATTACATATTTCAAATCTACATCTATTTTAGAGTTAAAATATACAAAAAGTTTTTGTAAAAACTTTTTTTTTCAGTATAGAATTAGCTCATAAAAAAAGGTTGTCGGAAAGTTTAAACTGAAGAATAATGATTATTCTTCAGTTTAATTCAGTTAATTTTTCTTTTATATGATTATTAATCATATAAAAGAAAAATTTTGAAAATTAATCTTGGTTAAATTATGATTTATTTTATAAAATATAATGGTAAAATGTCTATACTAATGAAAATACACAATATTTACAAAAGGTTTATTAGAAATGAATTGTAATATGATAAACTTCAAAACAAAGCTCGAAGCATCTAGTCGTTTTTGCACCAAATACGTGTTTCTTTGAGAATTTTTGGTTTCAATTCTTTTTTTAGAAATAAACACCACAATGTCTATGAGTTTCTTTCTTGATGGAATTGGGGGATATATATTTAGCAAAATGTCGATCAGTTAGTCTCATGGGATTGAGAGTTGAACTACAGACATCTTCGAGCTTTGAAAAGGGCATGCAAAATAGTGATAGTGCAAAATGTGTTTGTATATTTTGCAAAAATGGACAACTAATTCCATCTTTTAACCGAGATCTGAATAAATAATTAAACATCACAGAAAAGCTGAAATGAAAACCATGAGCAGGAAAACAGTTAAATAAACAAAAAGTATGCATCCCTGCGGAAATAGCGTGTTGCGCAAATTTTGCTACTTCTATGTTGCCGTGGAAATCGCGGGATATGCAGCGAGAGGGTTAACCAATTGTTATGATTTTGAACTAACTTTAATTCCTCCTTTCTGTATATCTCACCAGAATGTAAAATTGTTTGTTTGTGTGTTTAAGTCGAGATTTTTAGATGTTGAAAGAGAGAGTGTTTCTCGCATGCAAGATACATAGTTAGATTCTGCCAATTTAAATATAACTAACTATCTTGGCTTTGTGTTTTCTCGGTGCCAACACATTAAACTTAACTCTGTTAAATTATTGAGCCAGGTTAGGACTTGATTGTGTAGTCTTAGCCTACTGATCAGCCTTTAAATTTATTTGACTGTTCTTATTTATTTGCATCACCTCAACCTGTGGTTATTTGTCGCACAATGTTATGCCATTATCAGAGTTGCAACTCTCCCGATTTAGGCGGGAGACTCCTGATTTTCGACCGCTCTCCCGCCAACCCGATTTACAATATATTTCTCCCGACTTTTTCTTATTCTTAAAATTTCTCACGATTTTTATGGAATTTGGCTTAATACTTTTTTATATGAACAAAAAAATGTGATTTTGAACGTCTGAAAGCAATTGAATTTTCTCTAGATTATATCTAAAACAAAACCTTGTGAATTAGATAATTTCTGCTTTGTGAGTGAGAGCATATACGTATCCAGAAACGTCGTTCTCCAGTTCTCCAATGGGCATCGTGCTCCACTGCGTGTCACCTGGCGTATATTAACCAATGAGGACAAAGCAAGCTGTTATTTGGATGTTCTTTAGTTACTTCGGTCATTTTGTCCTGAGTTGATGCCATTTTGTCTTGAGTACACGTGCCTTCGGAAAATAGTTTTAGAAATTATCATCTTTTCTTATGTCCTGCGAAAAAGGTGAAATACTCATGTACGTTTCAAAAATCATACACAGTTGACTTTCCTTCCATTATTTCGTCAAGGAAATGTAATAAATTTGCAATGTGTACCGCCTGTTATTGCGATTTTTCGATTTCGTATGATGGGAGGATGGATGTTCTCAAACATGTGCGTATACAAAAACACAAGGACAAAATGAGTTGTTTTGAAAAAAACGAAAAATTTAATTTTTATTGGGAAGCAAAGAACCAAAAAGTTATTGATGCAGAATATCTGTTCTCTGCCTTTTTACTGGAGCACAACCTGTCACTGAATGCATTGGATCACGCTGTAGCTTTATTTAGAAAAATGTTTCCCGATAGTGAAATCGCTAAGAAATACTCAAGTGCAAGAACCAAAACAGGTGCAATTGTTAAAGAAATGGATTTGAAAAATAAATCTTCTGTTATTGATTGCATTAAAACAGCTCCGTTTTGCCTCTCTACGGATGGAAGCAATAATACCGATTCAAAACTGTATCCAATTAGTATTTCTTTTTTTAATCCAGAGTCTTCAGAAAATGAGTGCAGTTTACTTTCTGTCCCCACCTTAGAAGGACATTTGACAGGCTTTACTATAGCACAGCTAATTATTAAAATTTTAAAAGAAAATGTAGTCCCTCTGGATAATTGCTTAGCACTTGGTGCTGATAATGCACCAGTATTGGTAGGCTTGAAGACTGGTGTTGCAGGCATCTTAGGAAAGGAAAATTCAGATTTGCAGATTATGAGGTGCACCTGTCACGACTTAAATTTAGCAGCTGAAAAAGGGGCAGCTTCTTTACCAATAAATGTTGGATGAACACATTGTTGTTATTTACTATTATCTCGAAAGGAGTTCTAAAAGGAAGGAAAAATTGGAACATTTCCAACAGCTGCATAACAGCAGTTTACAATTAGAAAACTTGGATGAAGTTATAAAATCAGCTAGGATTGACACCCAGTGGAGTTTAATTGGAAAACTGAAAGATGCTGATGGAATTTTAAAATATAGTAAACTGTCTAGAATTATGTTGGCCATCTTGAAATTCCCCATATTAATGCAGAGTGTGAGAGGATTTTCAGTGTTGTTGCGAAAACGAGGACTAAATTTAGATCTAAAATTAGTGATGACACATTAGGAAAACTTTTATTAGCGAAAGCAGGCCTACGTGGCAATTGCTATGAACAAAATTATGAAGTTTCTTTCTTAAAGAAAGCAAAATCTGCTACTGTTTATAACATTTGTACGAAAACTGATTAAAGTTTTTTTTTTTTTCTTTTTTTTTTTTTTTTCGTTTTCTTAAACGATGCAAGTAATAAAAATGTTTTTTATGTATAAGGAAGGTATTTTTGTGTTGCTTGCATTTAAGAATTAGTTACTATTTAAAGTTAATTCATTATTAAAAACTATATTTTCATCATTTAAAAAGTCTTTTTAACATTGTGAAAAATCTCCCGATTTCTTAAAAAAATCTCCTGATTTTTGAGTGTCATAGGTTGGCAAGTATGCATTATGTTCAAATAAAAAGTTTGTTTCAAAACTTAAGTAAGACTGTTGTTCTATCTTGGACATACCAATAACTTGCCACATGGCTGTTAGGGTTACAGAACTAAAGTAGCAATACTAGATCAAGTATAACCTTATAAACTAATAAACAGTTTGAACTGTCCTTTTTGCTTTCAAATTCACAAAAATAGCAAAAGTAGATTATTTCGATTTCAGATATCATTTGGTTATTTTCCATAGTAATCAACAGCAGATAATATCTTTCACAATTTTAAAGTTTTTACAGGTGCATCTTTATTGATGTTTGTTTTATGTATAGCAGCGGTTCTCAACCTCTTGACTAACGCCTACCATTTAAGCAAAAACTGAAAACCTTTTGTACCACCACTACAAAGTAGTACTACCACAACCACTCTAGAATAAAGTTCAGATCGCATAAATTTTTTAGTGTTAGAGAAAAACCTCAGTCAGGATGTTAGGGTTTTAGTTTTTGAATTTAATAGTTAAAAATACTTTGCTTCTTTGCGTACCACTGGTTGAGAACCCTTGATGTATAGTAATTATGTAAAATAAACTTTAGTAGAGCACTAATGAAGTTGCCAACTGAACTTAATTTAATGGTCCTAATGAATAAGTAGAAATGGGAGAAAGAGAATATTTTATGTATTTAGTGCGAGTATGTTGTTTTTCATATAAAATTATTCATGTTGTTCATGTGTAATAATTATTTAACAAATATGAATTTGTCATCCTTGTTATTCTATTCACATTTTTTAGCATGTTCATCATATTTCTTATATTGTATGTTCATTATATTTTTTAGGTTATATTGGCTGAGTTCTTTAAACTTCCTGTATCTACTTATAAAGAAATTTGTTTAGGCTCTCTTTTCTTAGAATTGTGTAAATTGCAGCCAAGCACTATGCCACAAGTTGTATCCTTCATAATTTTCAAAATCTTTGGTTGGTTATTACAAGATCTGTTTATACGTATTGTTATTGCGAAGATGTTGTATGGTTTTGGAATATTCTTATAATATTTACTATGTGTAGCCATGCATTTATTAAAAATTAGTCTAAATTTGTATTGGAATTGCTACATTCTTCAAATAACTGTTCTTTTTTGCGAGGGGGGGCTTTTTCAATTAAGAACTCATTTTGTCTTATTTTCAGAAATTTAAATATTTTTTTTGAAATTTGGTAATATGGTTAAATTGCATTTTTACATCCAAATCAAATGTTTATTTTCATAAAATTTAAATGTATCACAGGACATATTCTTTAACTAATTTAATTTTCAATATAAACTGTGTAGAGATTTATAAATCTAGGTTACAGCAGTTTTCTTCATATATTGATGTAATACCTGTTAAAAGATCTTTGTACATTGAATGATATTCATGTGTTCATGTTTATTAATCAAGTAGTCTATAGAATGTGACCCATTTAGTCAGCAGTGGAAAAGGGGGGGAAGCATTCAGATTTTATATTACACCCAAAAGGGCATTTTTTTAACGTTTTATGTGTTACCTTTATTTATTAAATATCATGTTATTCACACTTAAACCATTAAATTCAATTTAACAGTAGTATCACAAAATATTTAAAGCAGCATATCTTTACAATTTCTGATACGCAGTCTCACATGCTGGAGATAATAATGTTTTCTTTTCCGTACAATGTTGCCATTGCTCGCGTTGAGATTCTTAATCAAATCATAATCAGTTTCTTAATCAAAAACTCACAAATGCTTTACAAAATATGAAATAGCTAATAAAACAAATTCCGAATTCGGGCTTCCAGGTGCCCATATTTGCGGGGAGACGTATGTTATTCAAAATTTGATGGCTCTAGGTACCTTTGTTTTATCACAATGCGAGAAACATACATACATTTGTGCAGATTCTTCATTATTTAATTTCTTTAAATATCTTACAGGGCTCTAATATTTGATGCAACAATTGAAAAAGTGATTCGCCATTTATAGTGAATCAACATAAATAGATTAGCAATTTATTCTGCATGTTCAAAATGCATACAGTTTTTTAGAACAAAATTATTTAATTAAATCTGAAAATTTAAGCATAAAATTATCGAGGTAAGAATTGATTCTCCACTTTAAAAAGCAGAGAAATATTTTGAATATGTTCCTGTAGATATATTAATAGAGAGCAATAAGGAAATGAAGTATTTTCTTATTTTTACAGCTACTGTTATATTAGCTCCCAAATTGTTGCCAAATTCATGTTTATTCTCACATTCAGCTTCTGGCTGTCACAATTCTGCAGCTGCTTTTAATATGGCATCAAAAGTAGTTTCTCATTCTAAGGATTTTTGCTACATAAATTCTGCAAGCTAGGACTCGAAATAATGAAATGCTTTGACCCTCTCCCTCCCTTTTTTAGTCCAAAGAGCATTAACACAGAAGGGCTATTAATTTTGTTTTGGCATTTTGCGCTCAAAACTTTAAATGTGTCCGTTTCACTTTTCAGATTTTTGACACCAAATATTATCACCCTCTGTTTTATTTAAAGAAATTAAATAAGGAAGATTCTGCATAAATGTATGTATGCTTCTCGAATTGTGATAAAACAACGGTACCTAGAGCCATCAAATTTTGAATCCACCAAATATGGGCATGTGGAAGCCCTAATTTGGAATTTGTTTTATTATTGATTTCATATTTCATAGCATTTTAATGGATTTTTGATTAACAAGCTCAAGGATTTCAAAGCAAGCAATGGCAACATTGTACGAAAAAATTTATTTTTATCTCCAGCGCACGAGACTGACTGGGTATCGGAAATTCTTAAGATATGCTCATATTAAAATTATTTTGCGATATTGCTGTTGAATATAATTTCATATTTAAGAGCAAAGAACATGATATTTAATAAATAAAGGTAACACACAAAATGTTAAAAAATGCTCCTTTGCATAATACAAAATCTGAAAGCTTACAGTTTTTGGGGGGAGGGATTTCGCCATTCAGTGGCTCCCCACAGTCTTTTGTGTACTAGTACAAGTAGCCATTTCCAGATCTACAAAATGGAATTTTTAACTGATAGTGAAGCCAGCATGCTTTTTCCAGTTCTGTTTTGTATGTTGGCCAACAACCTAAATAAACTATTAGTGCCTCTTGTACATAATCCCCGATTTTTGTCATGAACATGGTTGCCTCTCTGTCTGGAACCTGAACAACGAAGTCCTCACCAGCTCCTTGGCATAACCTCTCAAATATCAAATATTGTGGAAAAATCCTCTCACTATTGTTTTTTTACTGAACAAATAGATTTTCATTTATTCTGACAATTTTTCCGAGCACTTGTTTGCCTGTTTGGTTGTTGGATTAAGTGTAGGGAATGTACATCTCTTGTAAAACTTTTCCAGTCAATATATAACAGTTTCAGTATTTTGGCAAAGGTTTCGCTGGATCTGCCATTACTTAATTGTTTTCAATTACTCCGCCTAAATTAGTGGCATTAGTAAATTAGTGGCAGCACTGTTACAAATGGTATTCTAGAGCCACTGAACATATGCTTTCACTAAGATGTAATTTCATTTCATGACCATTTTTGTACATTCAAATGTGAGAAGAAATTAATATTTCTTGGAAGAATGATGCAGCATTTTCCTCATTTGTTTGTAAATAAAAAATTGCTAACATTTTCTTGAAAAAGAAAATACATGCAGCATAGTCAGACCTCTTATATTTATCAGTCATCAGTAAATTAGAAGCCAAAAATATGTTAACACATAGCTTACTCACAGTTCTTATGACGAGTGAGGTGATTATTATTAGGATTCCATTGGCAGTTTATTGGTACTCTAAGCTGATTTTAAAAAATGGGCAGTTATAAAAATATGAAAATGACAAAAATGACGTGCCTGTAATTTTTCACTGTATCATTGAATAGTGGCTTACAAGAGAAAATTTCTTAACTTTTTAAGTTAGCGCAAGCAGTTGAACTGATGTATGAGAGATTAGATACGATGAACATTGATTGTATTAATAGGTATGATTTTTTTCCTTGCTTTTTGTGATATTGACAAACCATTAATAGCTGTTGGATTTCTCATAGATACATGTGTTACTGAGGAAATATGTCTCTCTTTTAGATGAAAAACTAATCTTGCTATTTTATTTGCAATATTATAAAATAATTTTCAATAATAATGTAGTATTATATAACAAATAATAAAAGCAAATTATTATTGAAAATAATAAATTGCCTCTCAGAATGCACAACACCAGAAGTCTAAAGCTTGTAATGACAGTAATTAAATGTTAAAATTTTGAAATCTTGAGTTTTGAGTTGTTAATTGTCCTTATGAGAATATTATTTTTTTATTTTACTTAAGGTTTTCAAGTTGGTTTGCTTATCACTTAAGTAATTTTCAATTTCGATGGAACTGGGATGACTGGAATGATTGCATAAGTTTAGATCCCCTGCATCCTAGACCAGTATTTGTTCGAGAAACTCTTCATAAATGCTTGAGGTAAGATTCAATGAATTTTTTCCATTTAATGTGTTGGCTGTCAAAGCTGATATGGTGTGTCCATTCAGATGTGTGAAGATATTATGTGAATTTTTATGCTTTTAAATTATTTTCTGCTGATTCAGAAGTCAAACAACAAAAATCAGCGTTCCGCGGTTTTGCAACCGCGGAACGCAAAATCAAAACCGCGGTTTTGCAGCTGAAGATGATGGTTCGGTAAAACCATCGAAACTAGTCCTGTGAAAATTTTGTGAATTAACGCTGATTTTTGTTGTTTGACTTCTGAATCAGTATTTATTCGGCATGTTATTGTGTCTTAATTATTTTCTGCTGTTTTATTACTTAAATATACATATAACAAATCACTGTTAGAGGTAAATAAATTCACACAAGTATATTCATTTTTGCATATAAAACAATAATTTTGCTTCTGGTACCAACTACGACATAAATAAAACTCATAGATAGACAAATATAGATAGACTAGATAAACGAAACTCATCTATTCTGTGCATTCATGCAAAATTTCCTGCATATATGATACGTTGTTTTCCATTAGTCTTAATCAAATCACTAAACACAAATTTGAGCAATCCATTTATAACATTTCTTTAGTAAATAAGCATAGAAAAAAAAAAAAGGTTTTGTGTTATAAACATTTAATTATTGTACCTACTTTTCAAGAAATAAGTTCTCTTCAGTAAGCCAAGTGTTTTATTTAGTATATTCCTGTATGCCAAACGCCTAGTCATTGCATGCGTTTCTTACAACAGTATTTGTATTTAGTGATTTAGGTAAAGCAGTGAATAATGAGTTACCTCATAGCTGGCAAGCAAACTCAGTTTCCAACTACAAATATTCTCATAGAAGGCAGAAAATGTCTTAATTAAAGAGGGGAGGGGGAACTTAATTTTTTTTCCCTAGGTAATGGATTGCAAGAGTCATTGCAGTATTTTAAAATAAATCATCAGTTTCGTTATATATCATTCTAGATAGCCTGTCTGTTTTACTTCCTTGTATGAAGTAAAAAAAAAAAAAAAAATGTGTTATAATCATGAAAAATTTCGGGTATCATATTTCAACAAAAATATCCATTTTGATCACTCTCGAATCCATTTGAACAATTATTTTTGCATGACGTCTATAAGTATGGACAGCATAAAGGACTCTTTTTTTCAAAATTGTAGTGTAAAATGGATTCAGAAAAGGTTTTCTGTTGTCTGTATTTGAGACTGCTATATATGTATTTGTGCATATCCCTTTTTGGTTGCAATCGGCTGCACCAAACTTGTACAGTACAAAGTCCGAAATCGAGACTCGTCGGGACTTCGGCGATTTTGGATTTTGGATTTTTCCGGATGTTAGGTCATTAGTTTAAATCTGGTAAGATGGCATGCAGAAATTATACAATTAAACATATGAAATCCTAATTTATGAAATAAAGAACAATTATAATCTAAAAAATATCAAAATTAAAAAAAAAAAAAAAAGGAGAGAGAGCTTAATATTTATTTGTTTACTTTATTAAAAATTTCTTTCAATGTAAGTTAAGTTGCTTCCATAAAAAAATTCAAAAAATTCCTCTTTCTTGTGTCATATCCAGTTGACTCTCCAATCCCATACTTCTTGTATAATTTTGAGATGGGCATGCCTTTATCCATTTTTTTGCAGCAATTTCACTTTTTGTTTAATGGACATCGAAACACGGTTTTGCTTTGTAGATTCTTTGGCAGCTCCAGAATTACCATCATAATAACAGTCTTAAAAAAAAAAAAAAAAAAGGCTGGATCAAAGGGTCGGGGCTAAATACCGCATAGTGCAGTCTCTACGGGTCCTAAATTCTGCTACAAAGCACCTTCCTAAGTTCTAAATTTTCACCGCACCTAAACTTTGGATCCCAGTGCTTTCCCTAAATCATAAAAAACTTCTCATCCCTTAATTTTACTGCTCAGTGCTTCCCCAAATTCCAAAAATATCGTCTTCTCTAAATTCTGCGGTCCAATGCCGACATATTCTGCCACGCTTCTGGGTTTATGGTGAATAACATATCAGTCATTCTTAATTAAAATAGCACTAAATGTAATCTTTTGGCCTATGAGTTTCATTAACAAAATCTATTTTTAGCATATTGAAAAGAAATTTTCCTCGTCAACATTTCTTTAAAAACATTTAAAAATCTGTAATCATCGCCAAGCGTAATGTTAACATAAAAGGTTGCCATACTCTTGTTATTCAATTACTAATATAAAAAAAAGTTCAAACGTCACTGAATGAGTTATTACTGAAGCTGTCATGTCATAAACATGCAGTGATGAAAGCAAAATATAATAAATAATGACTCGCCTGGTCGGCGTCAGGGATATAAAATAAGTGAATGTTTCGGTAAGTGCGGTGAACAGCGGTAGACGGAATGGAACGTTTGAAATGTATGCCAAGCAGATACTCAGCTACGGAGCCAAATTATTAATCTCTCAAATTTATGCTTACATGATTGTTTTTTCATAACGAGGTATTTTATTTAGTGCCTAAGTGAAATTAAGAATCGGAATTTTTAAGTGAAAATCTCCACGTGTTTTATTATGAAAGGAAAAATCAAATGCGCATGCATAAAGCATAAAAAAGTTTGTAGCTTTAAGGTCCAGATTTTAGATCATTTCGGATAATGGGCGTCCGGATTTCAGACTTTGTGTACTGTATATATACATACATATACCCACTCTCTTACTGATCTGGTGATCTTTTTTTTTTTTTTTTTTTTTCCCTTATATGTTGGTAAATTTTCTATTTGTTGCTTTAAAAGTGACTAAATTATGTTGTTCATGATCCAGCCCAATTTCAAAGTTGTTTAAGTGGCACAAATTCTAAAAAGGCTGCCATTTGTTTAATTTGAAATTCTTAGTAGAATAATGAATTCAGTTTGTACACCAAATTCAGTGTCTTTTTGCTGAAGGGACTCATTAACTTTTTTTAACTCTATTTGATGTTTTATAATTTTCTGTATTTTACAATTTTAAGTAAAGACAGTTTAAGTTTTTATGTATTTTTGCCTTGCTGTGAAGTTAAAAATTAATTAATTGAATGAGAAACATATCTTTAAGGAAATTTGAGAAAATAACTTTAAATAAAATGCAACAAAAATGTGTATAATTTAATAGGCTACACAAGGAAGTCATGATGTCCACATCAGATTCCCCCCCCCTGTAAAATTTGTAAATGAATTTTCTTTTTTTGTCAATTTATAACAATATGAAATTTTATTGGGAAATAGTTGATGAAAAAATTTGTATTCCTCCTTTTCTCTAGGTTGTCATATTATCAAAGGATTGTAGACTTATTGCCTGAAAATTTTGTTAATTTATTACCTTTGAAACCTGTTACTGTCTACAAGTATGCTCAAGAAGGAGCAGGTAAGAAATTTCTGAAAATATTTATTTTTATTCAGTTTCAGTACATTTTAGTGATAAAATATGAATAACTATAATAAAAATTTAATATTTTAATCAATTTATGATTTTTAAGCTTACATTATGTATGAGTTTGTATAATATATGATTATGGCTACATCAAAAGATGTAAACACGGATTACAATAATGCATTTTTAGTAATACTCAAAAATAAAATCTAAATATATTGCCCTATTCTTGTATATAAATCTATACCTTGAATAAGGGAATAGCTAAGAAAGGTAATAATATCCAGTTGTAACTGGAGTTTAAATTTTTTTTTTTTACTTTTTGAAATCCGGAATTTGCAGATTTATGAAATATAGAATTTTAGAATTTATCTCAAATTTAATTTTAGAACAAATATATCATTCAGACATTGTAAAAATTTTACTTTTTAGACATGTAAGATGTATGCTAATTCTATAACAGTTATTTTAATTTTGAAACCCTTTCATTTCACTTCTTGTTTTCCACTTGCTACTGCATACCAGAATGAGTTTTTAGAATCATGTTGAATGCAAATGAGTTAGAAGTAGTATTTAAAAGAATTTCAACTAACTTTGAAAGAGAGGAGCTTAGGAAACCATTCTCCAGTCTACGTTATGAACTCATCAATAATTAACTACTCAGTTCACTAAGTTCCTCGACTCAAGTAGCGAGGGACATTAAAGACTATATAAAATTAGAAGACTGAATAAATCTCATTGTAAAAATAGGCATCTTATATGAGTAAACTGAGTTTGCTGAAAAATTTGTCTTATATGGAAGAGTCATTTTTGCTGTTTGTATTATGCAAAAAGTGTGAAGGGGGAGTGAAGTTTTTGCTCATGTATTCAAGGTAAAAGACGATCAAAAACAAAAATATCCGGTATTATCAAAACTAATAAAATCTGTTTTAACTTAGTTTTGTGGATCAGATGCTGAAAGTTGATTTATTTAGATGGATAATATTATGAGAGAATGTAGGACATTCTTGAATGCTGTCAGCCTAGATGCTACACAGACTGTTAACAATTATGTATTGTCTCTACACAAATATACATATGCAACTTTTGGGTCAGAAAATCCCTTTGCAGACACTGTTGTTAAAGGCATTAGGAATAATTTATTGAATAGCTGAATAGCTTAGCAAATTTTTACATTTCATAAACCATTCCATTCTTTCTAGCAGTTTTTCTGCTTCATCACATATTAATATGCACACGTCAAGTTCTAAAGGGTTAAGTGCAAACTCATAGTCTACAGCAAAATGTCTGCTTGATTATACTGGTTAGTTTATTTATATGGGGTAAAACATATCAGGGCTATCTGCCTTGCTATCATGTTGAACTTTCAGAATAAACTCAAAGAAAGTATAAATGAAAATTATAAATGCAGCATTCTCAGAACTTACTCTTTCTTTCCTGGAAAGCAATAGATAAATACCATGAGTGAGATAAATAAAGGCTAATAATATTAATAATAGTAATAACAAAGCATAACTTTTTCAGGGACCATTATGAAAATTATGGTACCATCTATAGCAACAGCAAACATTAAAAAATTTGTACAGTTGCTGTTAGCAAGAAGAGAAAAAGGAGACACAAAAGAGTTTCATCTTTAGAACCCGTTCAAAAGACCGTCGTCTTCCTTCCCTTTACCCGAAAGCTACTGTGAACAGTGATGTCACAAACATGAATTGGCTGATTTCTAATACTGTTAATGATTTTTTAATGTTTGCTGTTGCTATAGATGGTACCATAACTTTCATAATGGTTCCTGAAAAAGTTATGCTTTGCTATTATTATTATTAGTATTATTAACTTTTATTTAGCTCACTCATGGTATGTGTTGCTATGGTTTAAAGTTTAAATGTGAAAAAATATTTGCGTATTGCATACAACATAATGATGGATGTATCTGTGTGTGGAGGCATTGAGAAGAATCAATGATGCCAGCTTGCATTCATCATTGTCACACAGCTCTAGCATTTGGCATGTTAGTATGGGCTACCATTGCATACGCATTCCAGCTACCTCTTGTTCACATAGCTGATAATATGGACAGCTGCTGTTACATTTTGGACATATTTAGGCCTAAGGTTTGTCTTATCTTTGCGGCTTATTTGATGCCATCTTTCAGCAAGATAATGCACAATTGCCATGTTGTTCTGACCTTTCTTGATAAAGAGAATGTTTGACTGTTGCCTTGGCGGGTACTCTACGGATTTCTCACCAAATGAGAAACATTTATCTGGTTATGGATTACTAGGTATGCCATCACTTGACAGTTGCCGTGGTTGGTGAACTTTGGCATAGATTTAAGCCTTATGGAATGAAATACATACATCTGTCAGTTTTGACTCAATACCAGCTGAATTCCAGCTTTGTTGTTGTCTGAGGTAGTACTAACTTTTACATGATATGTACCCAAACCACCTGCAAATTGAATCATGTCTTCCTTCCATTATACTGCATATGTACAATAAATAAGAGTTTTCTATTTGCTTTCTTTCCTGATGTGCCATTTTTAATAGCAAGCAATATACATGTATGTCTATGTTGAGAATTGTGGTTGAAGTATATGAAGGAGTAATTTCATTTATTTCATTTTCATTTTAATGAATGATCTTTATCAGCATCATTCGATTGCATAAATGAGATGATTTAAGTGTGTTGTATCTACAGTTATGCCACAAAATAAATTGTGCCTCATGTTGCATATCCATAATATTATATTTTATAACTAGAATTGAAAAAGAGCTCCTGAATACTAAACAATTTGACCCAGGTTTGAAGCCAGATGAACAAGCTATCTGCATGGTTGATTTTCATGTTTTTCTTTGGGTATAATGGGAATGTAAACCAGAGAGTCCTCTTTAAAGCATTCCTCACCTTAGAGAGATAGCTCTGGCATTTTTTGACATATTTAAATAACCTATTTAATCTAACTTAGAATTGAGAGATTTTTTACAGAGAGGTACAATCTCAGGTGGAACAGAGCTAAAAGTGCTAAATGAAAGTACATGATGAACAAACACACACACAAAAAAAAGGACGATAGATTAGAATAACCATCTGTTATTTTTCCCTTTTGTAGTAGTAAGGACATAAAATATGTGGCCGATAATAATGAAAATAAAAGCATATAAGGAATGACCAGTAAACACTCCCCCCCCCCGAAAAAAAAACACTGAAAGTTTTCAGATTTTAAATTACGTCCAAAGGGGTGTTTTTTTAATGTTTTTTGTGTTACCTTTATTTATTAAATATAATTTTCTTTGCACTTAAACCATAAAATTCAGTTCAATAGCAAAGTTGCAAAATTTTAAAATGAGCATATCCGATACACAGTTCCTTGATCTGGAAATAAAAAGGTTCCCCCCCCCTGTAGAGTGTTGCCATTGCTCGCTTTTAAGTCGTTGAGTTTGTTACTCAAAAATTTGTTAAAGTTTTACAAAATATGAAATTAATAATAAAATAAATTCCAAATTTCAAATTTGGTCTTCCACATGCCCATATTCATAGGAGGATTACATCATTCAAAATTTGATGGCTCTATGTACCGTTGTTTTATCACAATGCGAGAAATATACATACATTTATGCAGATTTTCATTATTTAATTTCTTCAAATATAATGCATAACATTTGGTGGCAACAGTTTGAAAAGTGAAACGGACATTTATAGTGATTCAACGCAGAATCGTAAAACGAAAACAATAGTCCTTCAGGGACAAAGCCCCTGAAACAAAATTTTGGTAGCCCCAAAATGGCCATTTTGGGTAAAATAACACCATCGTGATTGAGTGCTACAGGCAATCCAGATCAGCAATAGGTATGATAAATTCCTTGCTATCGGTGAATGTATGGTAATTTTAAAATGGCAAAAATTTTTGCTTTACTTACAAATACAAACAACAGTTGCAGCTGAAAAAAAAAGCTACATTTCAAATCAGATTTATCGTAGGGGCACAGTATTAGAATTTATCATATTATTAATAATTTCTTTTGCTGAAGAATACAATTACTAAAACACTGAATTATACTGTGGGTCATTTAGCCTAGTGAACTTAATATCATCCATGCTGCATTTTCAAATTCCAGCTCTGTAAAATTATTTTCTGTATCGATTGAGCTCTTTTTTTAAGATTCATTCATAATATTTGTCACAAAGCTGTATCCTTAAAGATCACTTGTGACCTCTGTAAATATTTTAAAACATTTGACTTGAAAATATAGTTTTCATCAGCGTATGGGAGTTTATGTGTATTAGTATTTCTCGCTGCATTGTGTGCATATCTGCAGGTCAAATAAGAGCCAACAACAAACCAAAGTAGTTCCTGCGAACTTCCAAAGTCATGACTGAATGAGCAGTTCTTCAGACTCATAGCTTTGATTGAAGCTTGTGCACTTTTATATATGCACATTTATGAGCTACCATCTGTTGAACTTAACCATTTGTTGCCTACTACTATTTATCTTGGATATTAATGTATAAACATTGAGTAAATGAACAAGAATTTTATTTATGTATGTATTTAAATTTTTAGAAGTCTTGCCTGGAACTGTCGCAGCACAGCAACTGACAGCAGCTTTTAAAGAGAAATGCACTGCTGAAGAAGCTTTGTTGCTTATCAAAGATTTACCCAATCCTCTTCAAGAAGATGATGGTATGCTTAACTCAAAATTTGGTCATGTTTTATAATATTTCAATATAACTGTAATGAAATAAATTTTTAGGTGTGTCAAAATTTTATTTATTTTATGTTTACTGTATTAGAAGTAATTTAGGAAGATACTAAAATTCCTGTTGGGTCTTTAATTCAAATCTCTTTGCAATATCCTTTAGAGTAGCACTTCTTAAACCATTTGCATTCATGAACTCTTTTTATCACTGAAAGTATTTCGTGATTTCAGGTATTAAATATGGAATAATGATCTAACATTAGAGTTCGTACGGTCCTTAAGAGTCCTTAAAAGTCCTTAGGTTTTTTGGAATCGATTTTTGGTCCTTAAAAGTCCTTAATTTTGGCCAAAATCAGCAGAAGGTCCTTAATTTTAATCATCTGAAATTTCTGTCTTTTTTTATGACTGCCATTTTGAATGTGAATTAGCATTTTGGAGGAATATTTTTGGCGATTCGCTGACGTATATGGGTACCTTTTGAATGGGTTCATTGGTTATAATTTGTTTCTATTTCTAATATAAATGATGGGATACTCGAGGTTCTAATTAAGAAGTGAAACATAAGCATAGCGAAATCCATTTTTTCTAATAAAAAGCCCTTAAACAACTTTTCGCTTTTGGGGATGTGAATTCTTTTACTAAACGGTTCTAAATTTGGCGACTTATCAACGTTTTGGCGATTTTAAGATCAGTTTCTATAGAAAATTTAAATTCCGAGATCTGAGAATTTTTCGACGATTTTTTTTTTAAACATCGTAACATTGATAAATTTCATTGAAATAATGATAATGTACTGAAATTATATTACAAAAATAACTTTAAAATACAACATTTTTTTTCCCCTGTCTTAAAGTTTCATTTTGGCAACTTATTATATAATATTTTGAATTTGAAAAATAAACAAGGTATAATGCTATAAAGCCTAATTTTCAAAACAGTTCTTAGCAGAAACAAAATTATCTATGGAATTAGTTTTTTCCATAGTAAGAGTTTTTCTCATGTAGTTGTCTCAGAATATTCAGAATTCTCACAATATTTATCAGTTTTTTCTATAAAATTAATTTTACACTTTTCCCTATTTTTTTTTTTTTTTTTTTTTTTCCCCCTAAAATATTTCTTACTTTTTGCCATTACAGAATTGGTAGAGAAAATTTTTTCTTAGGATTTTAGACATTACAGCTTGGAAAGTTTAAAAGGATTTGAAGGCAAGATTTATAGACCCACGATTCTAGAAGATTCCAGAAATATGTGACAAAATGAAAAATATTTCCATGGTATTAACATGTAATTGATGTATTTTACAGAAAGTTTGTGATGGATTTCTTACTTTTTGGAGAACAACTGGAAGAATAATGAAAACTGATACTAAAATCTTTTTCTTAACATGTTTATCTTCCCTTTATTTTATCTACTTTTCACTAGACACAAGCATGGAAAATATCAAAAATGCTTTTAATCTTATCACATGGGAAGGCATTATAGAAAGGGATTTTTTTATTAATAAAGAAATTGAAAACTTGCAATTTAAAAGATTAAGCTGTCTCAATGCACTATACACATAGCTGGCACTAGGCATTTTCCCACCTGATGCAATCTCTGTGGATCCTAAATTCTGTTGCCTAGTGCCTTTCTAAAGGCTTCCAATGCCAGCTCAATTCTAAAAGTTTTGCCATTTCTAGATTTTGTTTTTTGGTGTGTCATTCAATTCTAAAAATTAAGCCACATCAGCTCTGTAACTGGCCTTTACCATATATATTTCACATTTCTTCTGAATATTCATATTACTAAAGAAATAAAATTAGCCGCTTTTTCTGTACATTCTAAATGCATTTAGTGTTTTTTAGAATAGCAGAAATCCTTAATTAAATCCAAGCATTATAAAATGAAAAGGAAATGTGTTGAAGAAAGAAACCGAATACATAAAGAAAATTATTTTTCAAAGATATATGCAGTTATTATTATGTAAATTACCCAATTATTTATGATTTCAGCCTTTACTATAATTTCCCTTTTCTATTGACCCAGATTAAATTAAAATTAAATTGTGTAATCTTTGACCACTAGTCCACATTTTCAGTTTGAATTTGACTCTTCTTGTTTAATTACATTACTGTGAGCTGTAATTGATTTTGTTATCATCAGAACATGCCTTTATGTTTTAAGTTCTTTTTGAATAAGAGGCTTATTTAAACCTTTGTCTGAAACTGTAGTTACTTTCAAAAATAATACATAAAGAAAATTATTCTTCAAAGATATGTGCAGTTATTATTATGTAAATTATTCAATTGTTTATGATTTCAGCCTTTACTATAATTTCCCATTTCTATTGAGCCATATTAAATTTAAATTAAATTGTATAATCTTTGACCACTAATCCACATTTTTAGTTTGAATTTGACTGTTCTTATTTAATTACATCACCATGAGCTGTAATTGATTTCGTTAGCAACAGAGCATGCCTTTATGTTTTAAGTTCTTTTTAAATAAGAGGCTTACTTAAACCTTTGTCTGATATTGTAGTTACTTTCAGACATAGCGATAATATGCTTTACGTCTGTCGGGGGTTTTTGACTATTTAACTTTCACCAGATCAAGTAAACCCTCATAGGTATATTGTGGAGAGGTTGACAAGTTAGGAGATAAAGAAACTAGCAACTAGCAAGAAACTAGCAAGATCGTTGGTTTGCATATTGAGACAAATCTCTAGTTGTTAGAAAAGATGCTTAAAGAGAAGGAAATCAATATAAACTAGCCAAAATGTCTGGGAACAAACAGTTCAAATTAAAATGACGGATAAATATTTTGTTGAGTATTGTTGCTACAAAACATAAATGTTTTGTAGCTTTTAATGTGTAATTATCCTAATATAGTTTAAGAATCAATGTCATAAATTATATGTATTTTAAACTGAAATTTTATTAGATTTTGATTTTAATAGGGCCTTTTTTAAAGTATTGTTAAAAAATAGAATTTATTAGTGACCATGTAAATCCATAATGACTAAGGTTTATTAAACTACCTAATTTAATTATTGATAACTAACTGTTTACCCTTAAAAATTTTCTCTATATATTAAAGTGAGTTATTGCTTTTCATTAATACTCACTGTGGTCACAAGATAAAATACAAAAATGTCAAAATTCAAGTAAAACTTATTCTTTGCGTCTAGTGAGACTTAAAATAATACAAAACAACTTATCACCTCTGGTGCTTTAATGGCTTATTGGAACCTATAAGTATATTAACTGGGTTACAACCCCTAGAACTGCACGAAGCTACAAAACTAAACTGCATCAAAAAGAGCCTGACTGACTTTCAACACTTGCCAACCGTGCCTCTACAGCAGGCCTTTCAGGTTTGTTCGAAGCAGTAGGTCTCTCTCTAGACAAGCAGCAGGGGTGACAGCATTCAGTCTTTTGGTTATGAATCATGCTGATTATGATCTTACTTCTTATTTTAACTTATGCCGTTTGACATAAAATCTACCTGCTATTTACTAAATCTCTAGACTGACCAAGTATGTGACAAAATGAGACATAATCAACATAAAGCTAACTGTTAGTAAAACGTAAATGTCACTTCTTTTAAATATGTCCAACTATTATAAGTGTAAAATATTTAATTCTACTTGATAAATTACATAAAGTTTATTTTACTTTCAAACTTATTAATAATTTTGTTACTGAATTCATGTTTAGTAATAATGCATACTACTTAGGTATCTATTTTATTTTTAGGATGGTATTACAAAAGTGAAATTCAGGCATAGATAATATTTTTAATTGAATTTATTCATTTCCCATTTTCTCATAGGTCCTTAATTTTTTTCAGTAATGGTTCTTAAAAGGCGTTAAAGTACTTAATTTTCATGTGCAGAAATGTGTACGAACCCTGAAAATATTTTCTCATAAATGATTAATTTTTTTCCGTAAACTATATATGTACAGTCAAAAGTCGTTAATTCGGACACCCATAATCCAGACCTCAAAGCTTCAAACTTTCTGCGCATGCGTCGCGTTGACCGTTACGGCTGAGAATATGCTTGTGCGCGTGCGCAAAATATGTTTACGAGTGCGTGTTTAATGTATAACAGATGGTATAAGCTAAGCTATAATTATTTAATTATCTATTTCAGTTAATTTTGCAGATTGCGTTGTTCCTTAATCTTCGAATTGGATCCGGCTTATTATATTTTGCAGACTGTTAGAGCAATTTTATAAATAAAAGTAAGCTTGAACTTTCGATTATGTCAAATAGAATTTCTGATATATATTTATTAATATGTAAATGATCTACAAAGCGAAAGTATGTTTCGAAGTTCATTAAACAAAAAGTGGAATTGCTACAAAAAATGGATAAAGCATATCCTTTGTTTATCTTTAACGCCGCGGTGCCGCGCAATGAATTGGAAGTTGATCTGTTAGCACTATCCTTATCTTCAGGGCAGATGTTTTTATTTTATTTGGCTTATAATTCCTTATTAAATGTAGTATTTCATCTCGATGTATTCCATCTTTGATATGATTTAAATCAAATTCCTCGTCATTATAATTCGCTTCCAATAGTGAAGAAAGTGACAGAGGTTATTGAAAACGAAAAAATTTCAATTGACAAATTAGTCGGTATTTTCGACACAGCAATTATAGGACTTGAACAGCGGAACTTTGTAACTGAACAAGAAATTATGTCTGTTTAAAGAATTAAAGAGAATGTATTATCACATAAAAAAAGAAGCAACTTAAACAACTTACATTGAAAGAAATGTTTAATAAAGTAAACAAATAAATATTAAGCTTTTTAATATTTATTTTAAATATTAAAAAATTTAATTTTTTTTGTAAATTTTGGTACCCTTTAGACCATAATTGTTCTTTATTTCATAAATTATGGTTTCATATTTTTAATTTTATAATTTCTGCATGCCATCTTACCAGATTTAAACTGATGATCTGTAATCCGGAAAAATCGATAATCCGGAATCGTC